ATAAATTCACAACAGTTAATATTTATAGACTGCAACAGCTGATTAAGTAATTATGTAACTATCGTCATCATTGCTGAAACAAACAGCATTCGTACCACAGTTATCGTTTGGTTCATACAAGATAATCAGAATAACTTTTAACATCTGTAGTTTAGGGCTCATCCTGCTTTACAGTAATTATGTTTAAACTAATATTGATAAGAAACACCCATCAGCCGTACTCTTTATAATGCTAGTCAACATATCAGACCCATTAAAAGTTTGAAAAATCCATTTTTGTATAGCGTATTAGATACCGATTATTCAACTAGATATTACAACAGTCCCTGATGAACCTGACATTGTTTCTCATTATGTGCAATGTACTGCATAAAAAGACAAGGCCCTAATGCTTTTTTTGACTAGTCCAGAAATCTTCTCTTTCTGTCAGTGAATATTAAAAAAGAATCTAAATACATACACTATAGAGTATTTACACATAACTGAATATAAGTTATAACTTCGGCATAAACATTTCCTAGTACATTGTACATTATCTATCATTACTTTTAAAGCAGCTTAATTTTCTTTCTGTTCACTTTAGCTGAATTAATACCAACACATTACACACCATGTATGCGAAACAAAAAGTTTACAATGCCATATACATATTTCCAATGTAATACAGATTTCCAATGCATATACAGATTTCCAATGTAAATACCCATTTAATTCAGCTGTTTATTATCACATGATACATTTTTTTAAAGAGTGATCCTATCATTTCATGCAAATCACAGTCTTTCTTCTGCACTTTATATTACTTAATTCATATTTACAAGGTAATAAAAAGATCTTTACCAGTTTATTACAGCATAATAATTTGAATATTTTATTTTTGGTTTGGGACTTATCAAAGTACACACATAATCCTACATTCAGAAATGAAGTTGATATTTTACAAAGATTCAACAGCTCCATTGACACAGTAAGTTGACAAAGCAAGTATTTAATAGTTTTCCCTTCAAAGTATAAATACCAGATCATTATGTAAAAATGGATCATACGCACAGCATCAAAGCTAGGACTCAGCTACTGCTCATAAAATTTTTGCTGTTTCAGATGATGCAGTGTGAGAGCACATTGCACTAAAGCATTTCATATCTTAATAAGTATATTATATACTACAGAATTTGTTACTTAAAAAAATAACTTCAGATAACACTATCAAACAACCTGGTCCTAATATTCTACCTATACATTTTTAAATAGTCACTAAAACATATGAACTTGTACACAATAGTAACACAGTTACACTCCTGGAAAAAAATAACTATGTAATTAACCTTGTTTTCTCATGTACAGTTATTTAAGCAATGTGCTCTGTAACAGGCAGTTAAGTACAGCAACATTGTCATCAATTCTTACCCGACAATACATCTAAAGTCTACATAATAATCAAATACCTCAATGTCTTACATAATAATTCCTATGCATATGAATAATAAATAAGGCTGCAGAACTGTCTTATAAATAGGCAAATTTTCAATAAAACACTCTGTGCCCTTCATTGTGTTTTTGTAGCTAAAAACTTCACAATAATAAACTATATATATTATGAAAGCATAAAAAACTTACTTCATAAATGACAGCAGCAAAAAATCTAACAAAAAGGAAATAATTAAAATTTTACTTTACCTCTATACTAATAAGCATATTAATAAAGACACATATTTTAATACATAATATTATTTCTAACAAAACTTCATATAGTACCTTTTTTTTTTATTTAAACCTCATGATGATTCACTTAATATGCAATTTATTTACATCAGTTTCCTTTTTTGGAATAAAGTTGAATTTTGTTGACATAGCATTTGGATTTGATAATTATTTTTGTAGAGAACAGCTGACAAAGAAAGCATTTTTTCCTCCAAATATTCAGAGAGAGTACAAGTAATATGGATTAGGAAAAAATTCCCCTTTTTATTTTCACAACCCATTTCTTATGGAGATTATCTTCTGGAAACACATGAAATCTTGGTTTTCCTTCCATTAAATTATATAAATAATGAAAACCTACAAATTTTCAAGAAACCTGAATTACACTATAAAGTGTAACCTCTTCCATCAAAATTTATCTCATTCATGATAAATCACACTACTTTTGCTCTAACAAAGTTAAGATATCAATAATTAATCTTCAGACTGGACTAATGTTTTAACAGGTTTGTGCAATGCAGTACAAAATATCAAACTTCTACAAATTTCTTCAGATAGAAGTTTACAACTCTCTTGAAATTTAACAAGATTAAAATTTATTGAGAAGTAATAAGTCAACATTTCAGAAATCTAGAAGTTCTGAATTTGAGATTGCAAGAAATCTTAGAATTCGAGTTACATCCCGATTCCAAACACCATTTAGCAAGATGATACTGTAAGATTACTTTCTCACCCTTAACATTACCTACTTTTAACTCTAATTACACATACACTCTTACTCTAATTAGCCTTGCCTTAATACCTGCATGTTTATACCTCAATGTAAACTGTTTTAATGTCATATCCATAATGAATCGTAATCACCCATAAATTTAAATTGAACACGTATTTATAATAAAATTGTTGATATCAAACACAAATTTATATAACACATTAGCAGTGAAGTTCTTTTGCAACTACAAATTCCTAAACACATTCATGGTGACTACAAACTGACATACCAACTAAATTTGCAATGATTTTAAGTACTGTTTAGTAGCAATACTTTAAAAACAGCTCAGTAAAATCAACTAAATCCCAATACACTGGTATAACCGAATAACAGCAAACTAAAAATTTACACTTACAACGAGCTAATTAAAGACAGGCACAACAACATGGCAATGTTGTTCAATGGCACTATAATAATCATTTTCTTTCCACCTGATTATTTCCATCAAACTGATAAATAGCTACGTGAATCGGCAGTTTGGTCAATTTATTTTTAAGACCTATGGGATTTTAACACTTTCACCTCATTATAAACCATATACAAAATCAAAACTCAAGAGTACTCTGAAAAAGCTTCAGTACCTGAACATTTATTTAATAACTAAATTTTACATAAAAAAATTTCTGAAAGCCTTCAGATTTTTTATTAGGTTCAAAAGGATGTTTTTTCACAGGGGATTCAAAACCGGATTTCGAAAGTATTAGACATTGTAACGTCTTCACATTGCTACACTACCAACATAAAACCAGCAAGAAACATAAAGAAACCTCATGCATAAAATATCCATGCTTTAAAGATTCACGCAATGTTAATATTAATGAAGCTTTTTGAAATTGTCGAGTATGTTAAAAAAATTTTTAAAGTTTTACAAAATATGAAATACATAATAAAACAAATTCCAGATTTGGGTTTTCAGCTGCTCAGCTTCAAATGGAGGGCTACGTTATTCAAAATTTGACATGTCTAGGTGATGTTTTTTCACAATACGATATTTATATTCATGCAGATTATTCATTATTTAATTTCATTAAATATACTTCAGGGCTCTAACATTTGGTGGCAACAACTTTTTATGTAGCAGCAATGATTTATAATCAGCCTCAAGTTTGTACAAACTACCATCAGATCAACAGAATTCTGTAAACTATGGTTGCATGGGAAAGATATGCCAGTAACACTCTAGAACTTTACTGAGAAAATGAAATTTGATAATTACACACCGATTCCCTTGCAAAGCTTGAGTTTTAATTACCTACATTTTTACAAAATGTTAAAAAATTTTATATCTAAATCATGTTTAATATTTCAGTTTACACTGTACTTCCTTAATTTTTATATTTTAAGTTCCATTTTTACTTAGCAGAAGTACACCTAACTAGCTTAAAAAGATGCCAACTACTATTTCAAATATGTATTAAATTACAGTAAACATGCATTTCACCAACTACTATGCTTTTTAACAGCTTTCACTTGCTAACACTTAATGATAAAACACTTCTTGGCTCTTTAAAACATCCCTACAATGAAATTTAATATATCATCTTTTCTAGGCAGCGTTGAGTACTTAAATGCAATGAACCACAAATATTTAAAGCTTAACATTTGCTGTCTGCAAAACTAAACATTTGGCTTTATTTCATACTTTAACTACTGAACGAAGGAAGTTTCAATATTTAAACAAAATAAGAAATACATTTAACAAAGACGGAAGTTTTAATATTTAAACAAAATTAGAAATATATTTAACAAAATGTAAAGTTATCTTGTAACAGCAACATTACGATATTAAAAATATCAGACATTTTAGAATGCCAAAAAATCCCTCCATGAAATACTAATCCAATTCATAGGAATACCTTCAGTTTGTTATCTCAAACCTACTCTTTAGACTAACCACCGACAATTCATTGAAACTCAAGATAAAATTACCTTTCACAGACTAAAGTTCTGCAATAATGCAATGAATATTCAATTTATCCTCACTCTACATATACTTTTACATACATACCAAAACCATTTCCTTCAGTAATTACTTCTAAAAGCATTAACTATTGATCACAACAGAAATTTTCCCATGTAAAATCTGATAAAATTAATTTCACAAACCTCAGAATATCATTTCCTACGAATCACAAGTAAAATCATTTAATCTATTTTCTATTTGCTCTGCTTAACCTTTAAGATTGCTGGTACAATTCAGTTGACATCAAATAGCTCAACTTTACTAAATGATCTTCAAACTTTCATTTTAAGTAAATTCCTCAAACACACTTTGATCACTTCTACAACATACATTGATTACCTCTTACATTATGCATAACTTTAAAATACTTAAGTTACTTAATCATCAAAAAGTTGAAATCTACTAAATCATGCAATTACATAAATATATACCTCAAAATGTCAAGTCTCTTACTTACCTTTAAGATAATGGCATAATTTTTAGGTACACATGAAGTCAGTAAATACCAGTATACAATAAATACTTTATGTTTTTTCTAGTCAGGTATCAAACAAAGAAAACATATAATAATATAAATAATACATATTTATTAATTAAGCTATGCAAGTACAAATTTACAAAGACTACATATAATACAAATTTTACACTTACGTACACTGCAGCCTTTTACATATCACAACTTGCGATAGTTCAATTATCAAACAATAATTTACAGTCCTTAATAGTGAAATGATAATTTTTAATGTTCAATAATGATGAATAAATAAAGTCTAAACAGGAATTTTTCATTCTTTTTAAAGCAAGAAAATCCATCAGCACTAAATTTGAATTTGCAACTTAGTAACGACGATCTACATTAATCATTTCTTGTCTTCAACAGCTTTAGCTTCCTCCTTGGATATTGGCACTTTAATTTCTTCTTTCGGTTTCTCTTCAATGGCTTTCTTTGGCGCGTTTATTGTTAAGACACCCTCAGGGCTTAAACTTGATGTTACTTTATCTCCTTCACAGTTCTGGGGTAACATATACCGTCGGGTAAACTCCCGCGATACTAAGCCTTTCTCGTCGCTTTTTTCTTCATGTTTGCCATGGATTACGACGAAGTTGTCAACAACTTTTACTTCCAACTCCTCGGGTTCGAACTGGCTAACATTTAAAGAGACTTCGAAATTCTGATCGTCGTTTTTCACCTCAGATTTCCCCGATGCAGCAATATTTGCTTGAGTGCGTGGCCTAAGTACCAAACCACGGTACGAGGATGCTGGTAGGAGATCATCTTCCACTATTTCAGTGCCGAATAACTGATCCATAATACATGTTGGATAATCCCAAGTATCCCACCAGTCTCTGCCAAAAAGCGCGGGTATCAGTGCAAAAGCCATTTCAAGTAGAACTAAGCACAAAAGTCAGCACGAAGATGCAGCACAACGAAACACTCGCTGAGCGGAAACAGAAAAGTATCGTAAGGTCAAACACGTGCAAAAGCGCAAAATTTCTCTCTTCACGAGCGCTGCCTGGCAACGTGTTTATATAGTCTCTCTGCTAAAGGTTTCTAGTACTTTCCAGCATGTGGAAGAAACTCCAAAGGACGCTTATCGATAGCTAGGTTGCTGTAATACTGATTTATCCCTCATTGCTGCTTCCATTTGGCGATATTTTGCGCTTTTATGATGAGGTTCAGTTTTTCGCCAAGAATACATCTCGTCGACTCTCCTCAGGATTCTGAGTTCAAATTTTCGCAAATCCTAAAATTGGATGTATTTACTCAAATATAATAATTTCACTTAATTTAAAGTTAGCTTTTAAACATATGCAGATGTGAAGTCAAAGTAATCAAAGCAGTAGTTTAACATTTTAAAATGAAATAATTAAATTTATAAATCTAAATTTTCTAAATTTAAAGTTAGATCTTGTAATTTCCCAGTTGAGTTAAATTTTATGCAAATATAATGCTAATGATTATTGTTATGTATAGATGTAATGCATTTTTACTGAATACTAAACAAAGTTAATCGTTAATCAAAGTTTAAATTTACTCTCTGCATAAAGAAATAATACATGCAATTTGAAATTGTGTTCGTTTGTTATAAATACTCAACGATTTGGGTATTGTATAAAGAACTCGCAAAGTTGGGAGGGGGTAGGATAAATTCGAATATAAAAGTTCTCCCAAATAAGAATCATGTAAAATAACTTTTTTTTGGGGGGGGGAGTTAAAAGATGTGTTTCCAGAATTTATTTTTGATCATTTTGACTAATCCGGCAACTGGAATTTTTAGCTCTAAATAATATTGTGCAAACGACCTCTCGGCGCTTGTGTGTTAAGTCCTAGTTGTTATTTTGTTTATCAAATTTTCGTTTACATATGCACAATTTATTTCTTAAAAGATTAATGCATTTATTTATTTATTTATTTTTTTTAACAATCCTCGCAAATTTCATTATTTTATGCGTTGCAGTTATCAACAAATAACATCTCACGTGAAGTAGCGAAAAATTATATCGCTACAGGAAAAAAGTTTGAGAAAACACTAATTTCAGCTATTTATTTAATGCACCAAATAATTAATTCGTATGATGATAGGTTATTTATTACGGCCAAACCCTCGAGGGCCATCTTGGAGAACAGTAGATAATAAACTGGCTTGTTTTCACATTGTTTAATTAACTGTGACAAAGCACAGAAAGGCCTTTCAGTTGCAGATCATAATTTCTCAAATTAGATCTGTAGAAGATTTATGGAAGGCCGTTAAAATAAAATTACTAATAATTAAAATAATGAAATTAAGTAAAATGTAAAGAGGTAAATAAAAATTTCATAAATTAATGGTTTGGTTTGGTTTATGTGATTATGGCAAAGCCGCCTAAGAGATGGGATACCTTCGTGGAGGATTTTGTAAGGGAAACTGGCTCGTATACACGTTATATATGGGGAAAACAGCGGCAACCAGCATGCAGCCAGCCCGTTTGCGGGATTCGAACTTTAAACTGAAGCAGCCCCGGATCTAAGGGGGGGCAAGCCGGGGTCTGTGCTCCGGGCGGCAAATTCAAGGGTGACGCAAAATCGTATTTGGAATGTTGTCAAATTTTGATACAACATTTATTAAGGTTAAGATTAAAAAGTCCATTAAAAGAGAAAATGGAAACTTTTTGTTGAAACTAGGAAGTAAAGATGAAGTAGTTAGGCTTGAAAGTGCTATTGAACAAAAAGAAAAATTGAGGAAGTATATTAAACCAAGGAGGCGTAGATTTATTAAACTGAAAATTTTTGTTAAATTTGTCTTCGAAATGACAGATTCTTGTCTTCAACATGGAACAGGGGCCTTGGTATCGAGAAATATTCTAAGAGTCAACAGGGCTTATGTAAGAAACGTAAAGTCGATATAATGAGGCTTGGTGAGAGAATTAGTGTTGTAAGTGACAGTGAACAATTATTGGTGTAGTAAACGATTTTGGAATGTTGCTTCAGGCAAGAATAGATTGCGATCTGCTGATACAGAGGAAAACTCGAAATGTAATCTCATGGACGCCCGAATTGAAAAAGTTTAAAAGACGTATCCGTGGATATAGGAGAAGCTCACAGGTGATTGGATTAGATGATAATACTAGAATTTTACTTAAGCTAGAGTATAAAAGAGAATTTACTATTTATAAACGTTTAATTAGGAAGACCAAGAGAGTATATATAGAGAATTATTTTTTAAGAAGCTTTGCTTATTACCATGGTTTTCATAAGACGGCATTTGGAAAGCGAAATTTACAGCTGAAAGTGAAAAGACCTGATGGTATGGGTGATGAATAAGCTATTAATACTGTACATGTTAAAGAGGTGTTTGATTTGGGTGAACTAGAAAATATATTTATATATATATATCTTCTGGTTATATATATATTTTAACAAACATGTATATACGTAAAAAGCAAATTTAAAGTTAAAATAATTTTAAAATGTGCAAACATATAAAAGATTTAATTTTCGAACTAATCTACAATATCATTTAAATTCAGATAGCATAAGTAGATCAAGTGCAAAACCAAACCATGAAAATAAATTCACCAATTTAGCAAATTAAAATTCATCTAAAAATTAAAAAAAAAAAAAAAAAAAAAATGCATAAGTGAATGACTGTTGAGCAGGCAGGAGACAGACTTATCAAGGAGAAGTTGCCTCCAAATCTAACTCTATAATCATTCAATTCGTGTTTCGTCATTCATGCAGGCAAGGGTAAAAGTCAAAACCAAAAGTAAATACATAGTGAAGAATGTTCAAAAAGAAATACCAATAAAGTGGTACCTTGAGAAATTAGTAATTAAAATAAAACTCTAAAAGGAAAATACCAATAATGAAGTATTTTGAGAATTAAGCAATGTAAAGTCTAGTATTAAATTAAATTAAAAAAAATTTAATTAAATTTTTCAGAAAAATTAATTTAGAAACCCTTGTCTACAGAAACCTCCCCGACACGAATATGCATATCAATCAAAAAGAAACTAAAAAGGAACTAGACATAATTTATATAAACCAATAAGAAACTAAAAATAACTAATTCATAATTTATAAAAAACAAGTACTTAAAAATATAATTACATATCTAGAAAATACTTAAATACTACATAAAAAATACTTAAAAAATACTTAAAAGCAAGTAAATAGTAAGTTTTAATTCTAACTTACCTACCATATAGCGTTGGGATCTGTAAAAGTATTTCCTAAGTGATGTAAGTGTGTTCTGCAAATTATAGTTGAGTGACAAGCTGCTATCTTTGTTTTATTAAAAATTTGTAAACTGTAATATTAAAATATTTAAATAATATAAATCTAGAAAAAATCAAAGAATATCCTAAAAGTATGTAATTCAAGTTTTAATTTTAACTGACCAACTATTTATGGTAGGGAGTTTAGTAGCTGAGCCAATCAAGAGATGTAAGTTTGATGAAGCTAAGAGTATTATACTGGGTTTGAGGAATGTCGCTGCTGCAGGTCCGGATCGCACACATTCTGTTTTGATTAAAAGACTATTCTTCTACTACCCAGATTTTTTTGTTTGCCTATCTAAAGCCTGTCTTAAGTTTACTCTTTTTCGTTAGAAAATTGTCGAATTATTTTGATCCCTAAGCCTAAATGGAAGGCAAAGACTCATTACTCTTTTGAATATTTTGGGTAAGGTGCTAAACAAATTGGTAACTAACAGAATTTTACATTTTATGGTTAATAAATGTCCACTTAGTGAGTTTCAATATGGATTTACCCTTAGAACAGGTGCACTTTACCGGGTTGTTGGATATGTCAGACGTTTTAGAGGTAAGCAACACGCAGCTTTGATTTCTCTAGACATTTCGGCTGCATTTGACTCTGTTGGTTGGTCTTCCTTGTTGCATGGTTTAATTGATTTAAAAATACTTAGAAATTTGTTTCATCTATTTAAAAGTTATTTTAGTAATAGAAAAATTTGTTTTTAATTCCTTTAAGGATAAGAGTAAAGATTTAGTAATGAATATTTATAAGGGATGCCCTCAGGGCTCTGCAGTGCTCCCCTGCTCTGGAACATTATAGTGGATAACTTGCTGAAGCAGGAGTTTTCTCAAAAATGTGGAATTAATTGCATATGCTGTTGATATTATTATTCTTATGAAACACGATTCTCTTGAAAAAAATGGAAATATTATTTGATGAAACTTCTCTAATACTGAGTGATTGGCAAAACAAAGAAAAATTACAATTTAATATTGAAAAAAACATGTGAATTGTTTTTTCTCAGAGGAGGGAAAAAGACTAGACCACCAAATTTGAAATATCAAGGCAAAAGAACACAATTAGTAGATAATATGAAATATTTAGACGTTATGATTGATAACAAATTAAATTTTATAGAACATTTTAAGTTGATACAAAGACGATCTGATCTGATTTTACTAAACTTGTATAGAACTTTTTCAGAACTTTTTGATATAGAACTTTTCAGCTGAGATTTTAGCCTTGAAATCCTCCATTCTGAGGAAGATTTACCTAAATGTTGTGCTCCCAATTATCATGTATGGAACTGGAGCCTGCGGATCCAGGGCAGGGGAACTGGTTAGATTACGGATGAAGTTAGACAGTATTCAGAGAGCTTGGGATTTCCATTAAACCCGATGTTTTAGAACGGTGCCCTACGGAGGCCGTCTTTGTGTTGGCTGGGATGTGGCCTCTCTCAATTTTATACGAATTTTATCATGAGAAAATTTTACTTACGACTGGATGAATGGAATTGAAAATGTATGAAGATTATTTAGTTACAAAGAATGTCTTTGAAAATTTTTTAATATTCACTTAATACATCCTTCCAATAGATTGGTTTTGTTTTCGATAAAAGTAATCCAACTGCTGATATATATTTGCTATTTATACAGACGGTTCTGTGGTTGGGGTGAGCGTAGTAGTTGCCTTTGTTGTTTATTACTATTATTACTGGAATTGAGGTGGATTGTAGAATGTTTAAGTTGAATACATTGAATACATATATATATATATAATTCAGTTTTCCAAGCAGAAAGTGAAGAGTTCAAACAAGCCTTATTGTGGATTAAAAATACCTTGTTTATACTCA